TGAGCCACGTTTTTTCTTGGATGTCCCGCTTTCACATTTCGGATATCCAAGTTCGTTTTTTTATTATCACCCCCTTTTTCACCAACCGAGCTATGGGCCAAATACTTCAGAAGAATAAAAATAATTATATCTCGGTCGGGAAGATGACAATGTTCGGAGTTACCCGACACACGCAAGTGCAGAGGGGAATCCGGAGTTCCGAACTACGCCAACGATCGAAGATCAGGGACGCTGCCGTTTTCGCCAAGGAATCGAAGATAAGGTGGGCCGGACACGTCATGCGATTTTGCGATGACCGTTGGACCAGAGCGGTTACCGACTGGATCCCTCGGGACGTCAAACGAACACCTGGACGACCGCCGGCCCGATGGTCAGACTTCTTCACGAAAGCTCTGAACGAAAGGAATGAAGGACTTCGTGTCCCTCGAGCGAGGAGGATCCACTGGACCACTCTGCACGCGACATGGACGAACTGAGATGTTGTCTCAATGCTCGAGAAAACTCGACGAATGGTGGGACGACAGGAGGTGGGGTTGAAGGCATATGATTCGGTGCTTGCTCCTTATTGGACACTGATACTGAATATAATACAGTCCCAACTGGCCAACGCGTTACTTTCACTTTGTTCTTTGTGAATCCTCATTAAAGGAGTCCTAATAAAGGCGAACTTATCAGAGCTCATCGAGGTAAGATGTCGGTCAGACTCGGCGATTGCATCGCGATGGACCAGTGCCGGAGCGATGCAATCGCTCTGCCTAGAGCGATTGCATCGCGAGCGACATTGCAATGTGCACAAGCGACGGGCGATTGGCCCCGCCCACATCGATGCAGTCGACATCGGTATCGATCGCGGCGGGCCATTGCCCGCCGCTTGCACTTTTGGCAGAGCGATTGCATCGCGCAATCGCAGAGTCTGACCGACATCTAAGCAAACCAGCCCTTTTGGCGTTTCTGCTGGGGCCGTATGCTGAATGTTGGGGAGGGGATGGGGTCCCCGACGGTCGACGGACTACTTCAACTCGGTCGGTACGGTAGGAGAGTAATGACGCAAGTGGTGCAGCTGGTCCAGCAGCTCCGCCAAAAGGGCTGGTTTGCTTACCCCAGGACTAAGCCTTGGAGAGAGGGACGGACCCGCTCTCTCTCTCCTCTCTTTAAGGCTTAGTTCCTGAGGTAAGCATCCAAATTGTGGCGGTTTAAGGACCGAGTTGAAGTAGTCCGTCGACCGTCGGGGACCCCATCCCCTCCCCAACATTCACCATACGGCCAGCTTACTTCGAGATCATCGTCTGGCCGCCACATGCTGTTTTGTAACTAAATTGACGACTAATGCACCCTTTTAACGCGGCGATCTTCAGATGCAAAAACTTCCGATCTCTTTTTTCCTGAATACCAATAAGCACTTGGATGATAGCCTTCAATGGATTCCAAAACACGTGTCTTTACAAAGCCAACCACCAGTGAATTCCCCCATGACCTTTCCGACAGTGGATTAATTGTCTCCAAATTAGAAGCTACACTAAGTGTTATCTTTATTATAAAAACCACGGGAGAAAAGTTCTCCAGTTTAACCATAAGGTTTGAACTAAGCTGTGCTGACGTCTCACTTTCGTAACGTCTATCGACGTTCGAAATGTGCCTCAACTCCCTGTCGTTGGTCATGGAGAGACTAGAGGCACGCGATTTTGCATAGCGGATTTTGCAAATTTGTCTCCTCCAAAAATTGTTAAGCCTCATCTATTATCATCAACACGAAGCGCTTTCATCCAGCCTATCTGCCATGGCCCTAATGCCTAATTTTGGGTGCATGCATAAACACTTGATAAATATGCGTAGCTTCCCACTAATCATTTTACGGTAACGAAGTCGTTCAAGTTCGTGATTCAATCGAATGGCCAAATATGGGATCCGCCATAGGAAATTATCTGCATATCTACATGGGTTACTCCATCCTCTGAGCGTCCTAGATGGCACGCTATGCATACGCACAGATTCTTGTCTATTCGCCTATTTACCTGAATCTACATGTTTCGAAAGCAGATCACATTACCCATGAGGCTACATAGTGTCGCATCACTCGCGATTAATACAAGGAGAGAGGCCAAAAAAAGGTGACGCTACGCAGCCTCTAATCAGTGGCACGATCAGAAAAAAAAGACAGACGATTTTTTTAGCAAATACTAATATAGATTTTCTTGATCAATAGATAAGGGATCTGTCGGTTTCTTCGCTTAACCATCTGTGACTTATAACTCAATTCCGCTATCGTAGAAGCGTCTACAAGGAAGGCCCGGGTGTCGTACCAAAGTTTTCTCTTTACTCTAGAGCATCTCGCACCTCTCGTAATGACTGTGTTCTGTTGTCCGGCTATTGTGGTAAGAAACTCTCATGCACAGTTCAATATGTGATAATTTTAGCGTAAGAATAAGTGAAAAAAAAAGTTATCACCTCTGCCCGCCCTGTACATCTCTGATGCCGGGATAAATCGTGGCCTGACCCGGCCCAGTCGTCAAAGTTTTTTGCGATGTGTTGAGCTATCCAAAAATTTTCTTCAGAACAATGCAATCCAAATACACATTAGTTTCAATATTCATTATCAAAACCCCATGATCATTAGCTCTGAGCGGAAAAAAAAGTTGGACACCAGAGAGCCGTCAAGATGTGCGCAAGGTGGCTAAATTGCACTGTCGTTTGGACCAAATAAAGTGTCAATTCTGAATCAGGAGGCATTAGATATTCCTGAAGTAAAATTTTAGAAAATTGGGAATTTGAATCCATCCGCAAAACGGTCGGTCAGCACCCATAAGTCTACATAGCCAGCGATTGGAAAATGAGTTTCTTCGTGATACTCCTCCTATATAATAAGAAATTCCGCTACAGAATAGGATAGTGGCAAGCAGCCAAGCTGATCATTCTGGGAAGCAGCACCCGCATGAGTCTGAAGTCGACGACTCTTCTCTCCTTCAAACCGTGATACGTTGAGTCCTCGGCTCCTCCACTCGTAGGACTTCATCTCCATGGCTGGAGCGATTTCAAGGACAGGCACGTGGTGGAGATGTTCTCCATGAGAATCGAGCTTTGGATTCCGTGAATCATCAAGGCGATCCACTTGATTTCCGAGCAGCGCTCGTCTTCAAGTCGCCCGCCGGCGTGCATGACGACCTGTGGCCCATGGTCACCTCCTTTTTCGAAGTTAGGTCAAATTTCAATTTTTGGCGAATTCCACCTTGTTTTTGATACCATCTTTCTCAGCACCCTTCAATGTGCAGGTGATCTTCTGTACAAGTCCGAAACGTCACTCCAAAGCTGTAAAAACCGCCTATTCTCAAGAAATTTTTCGACCCTTTTTTGGCCATCAGGGAACCGTTCAGCGAAAATGAAACATGGTTTTGTAGTCCATACATGGGTTCCTACTACACATCCCGATTGGATTCGGCACTGAAAGGTGGTTTCTATTACCCTTCACGCAAAGTAGCGCGAAAGGTTTCGAGCGTCCCAATGATAATATCTAAACCGCACGCCTCACCGACAAACGTTCTGCCTCAACGCCTAATGCCGTCATTTTATAGCTTACAACCTTTTCTTCAGGAAAAAGTTAAACTTGCTGACAATGCTCTCAGTGATTCTTTTGAGCATAAGTGCTATCTGCGGGGTTTCCTCGCAATGGAGAGAGAAGTTTGACCACTATTATAGGGTGAGTTTTGATGTTGAAGGCTTTCCCCAGTTTGAGATGCACTCCAACATCGCAGAATGTGGGTAATGGTGCTCGTTGCTAGGTACTTTACAACAAACTTTTCCTTACTTTCGCAAAAATGGCCACTTTGACCTGACTCCCCTTCCTACATGATGCAACGCAGTTCTCTGAGAACTAACATCAAACATAGGCATACTTGGCACTTAAAGGCAGTGATTACGTTAGATTCAAGAAGGGTTTATAGGAGATTGACGGTGCCTGCAGTTTTACGCCAAGCAGCAGAATAAAGCGACGCAGTCCGTCGGGACCCGCCGCGCCTCGGCCGCCGCCCCCGCCCGGGGTCGGTGGTGGTGGGTGGTCGTGACCGAAAACGCAAAACGGCCCCTTTTCCGGCCGCCGCTTTTTACTCAATAAATAGGTAACATGCCGGAATGCGACGAATAACGAGTCCAGGCGCAAGTTGACGGCGTTTGGTGAACAGCATGCCTCCATAACCATGTACAGTCAGTTGCTTCCTTGTGATGGCAGCACAGCTCGTCCAAGTCGCGGACTACACCTGTATGCGGGTCGTTTTTGGGGGCGGAGTGCTCTCGAAGCCCTGCTACGCAATCAGCGAAGCTTGCGTCGTGGGAGCTACACATCTCCTTCCTGGCAGCCAAGAGACGATATGTAGTGCATATGCTTCCGCGATGCGCTCCCCTCTTTACCGCGATCACTGCCTTTAATCATGCAACGGCCGAAAAATGGGACCCTTTCCTTGTCGTTCAATTCCGCATTGATGCAAATCTCATCGATGTTGCCCATTGAAACTGCTGAGCTGTCTCCTGCCTCCGATGCTAGAGGCCTGAGTTGAGTGGGCGGGCGAGTCGATTAGCAAGAGCTGTAGGACGGCCATGCTCCGCGCAGAGGCGTTACACATGCTGCGATATCGCTTTGTCGTTCCGCCTGTATTCCAAACCAGAAGCAACTCCGCTCTCACAGGGCATCAGATGGCCGCAAACAGTTCCGCTCCTATATTTGCCTTCTGGAAGCTTGTTGAAATACGATAAGCTACGGTTAGTGCTATCTTCAGGTATACGATTGGCCTGCAACATTTGCCGAAAGCTGAAAATCAATGCCGTTACAGTGGGGCCCATCTCGCTTCCATCCATTCCGAAGCGGAAAACAATTTCATTCACGGTATATATTCATCATTTTTTACCGACGTGAAGCACCAAAATGTGAAAACGGGATCGTTAGGCGGACTTGCACGGTAATTTAAACACATTTATGAAAGCATGACTCGTTCTATTAGGTCGGTCCATAATTTTTGAGAACCTTTGGTGTTTTTCGACTTAATTACTTATCTTATTTCTCTGATGTATTTAATCAGCACAGTATACATCACCATTATTACCAACATATACATGCATGAAGGTAGGTGTCCATTGTCCCTCGTTGTATGAGATTTCATACCTGACGTTCAACTGTTGTCAAAAACGCAAAACCTGCGCATGAGGTACATGCTGTTTAGCAGAACGTGCGCTCGATTTCAGCGCGCTGAATACTGAGTTTTGTGTGCCTGCGTCTGTCCTTCCATGTAGTTAGAACCCCCGCCCTTTTGGAAAAATGCGCGCTCGCGAAGTTAATTTCTCAAAGAATAAAATTTAGGCCTTACAACAAAACGCCGTCCGGCAAAAAAAAGCCACCGCGATTTCGTATGGATGGTTTAAGCGGACTGGCCCGACAGCGAGACATGGTCCTGGACTGACGGAACTCCTGTGGACTATCTGAAGTGGTCCACAAAACAGCCTGATAATCTGGGCGGCAATGAACACTGCGTGCAGGTTGCTCTTTATATCGATACTTTCAAAAAATCCGAATCATGCCATTACCCTACCCACAAAGGGCGTTCTTTCACTTCATGATAACTCTTCTTTTTACAGTTTTACAGCGATAAAGGAAGGGACCTGAAGAATGTGAAGGAAAAACGCTGGAACGATGTAGATTGCAAAACAATGCTGGCTAAATTTGTTTGCAAGAAGTCCAAGTATTCTGATTTCCAAAGATGGAATCCTAGACAGCTTTATTATGGCCCCGGACAATGGAATCGTGGACCGGCCTATTATGACCTCGCAAAATATAATCCAAGAATGATGGGTAGGGGGATACATATATATTATTATTGATGTTCCCAGAAATAAAGCCTCCTCTGTAAATTGTTCTAATTGCACAATGTAGTGGCAAAATAATAGTTGTGGCCCATTTTTCACCAGCGGGGTGGGAATGGATTATCAACCATAGCAATTTCGGCCATCTTCTAAGAATAATAATTAGCAGTTCTTATTCCATCTTGTCGGTCATGAATTCAAAGAGGTACTGCAAGCAGAACTGTAATTGGATCGACTCCGACCAAAATAACGCTCTTGAGAGATCACTCGATCGTTTTCAATGAGCACTCTTCAGTAATCCAGTCGTGCTCGGCTGCTTGGCCGTCTTAACGGCGGTAAGGACGGGGGGAAGGGGCGATTTTGGCAACTTTATTAAATGTCACTGGTCGATCAGACACCTCAGCGCGCGCTGGGGGAGGGGGCGTGGTTGGACCACGAATCAATGCCTCCCCAGTCGCGGTCAGTGACGTCATCAGAATCGCTCCGCCTTTCAGCCGTTGTGAATTGCCTTTGAGCTTCAATATGAACTCAATTCAATGGTTTGCTAAACAAATTGAAAGCGTTAAGTGGTCGGTATGTGCTTGGCATAAAGTTGCAGAAGCTGGGTCAAAGTCAGGCTTGAACCAGCTTCAACCCGACACCGTCATATCGTTTTGCTGATGAATCTGTTCAATTTAACCAGCAGAGGATGATGAGTTGAACTGTCAAGATGCACTGAGTGGTCGAATGTCAAGAAGGCCACTGGACCTTACACTGGTTGGAATGTATTTTCGAACGCTCCTCTCGAATCTGCTTTCCAAATTGCAAACAATTTGAAAGAGCTTATGAAGCAAAATAAACGTAAGGTGGTTCGACCTCAGAACGAGGAGACCTACGATCGATTCCACAGCGTTACTCTATTCGCACATGGACAAATGGCTAATGAGAATTCGGGTTAATCTTTTCAATCGGTTTGGCCTACAGGCCACCCGACACAGAGTTACGGACGTGACAAACATTGTATGTCGCTACTTGCAACGATGCTGCAATTTAGCCACCAGATCTTGGACCAATGTTTTCTGGTAGGTTGACAGGGTGTGATTGGCGTTCAGAGGTAAGATACCTTTAAGGACAATTTTTGTAGCCAACAATGTCAGGTAATCGATACTGGACAACATCTGGCTTGGCCATAACATTACTAACTGCTTTATTTTGTTCATTAAACAGAATCAATTAGGATATATTCGAGATCAGGAAGCAACGATGGCCATTCGAGCGCCAATTTTTTCTTGAGTGAAACCTTAGTTAATTGTTAAAACGATATCAACGGATCACCTTAAAGCACTTCGAAGGCTCTCGCTTGTCCCTACGCAAGCTTTCAAATCTCGAACCTGCACAGCACATCCTTCGTAAGTGCAGAAAATGAATAAACTATATATCATATGCTCGATTCTGGTCTTTCTGCCGTAATCAGACTCAAAGAAATAAACTCGTGCGGATCTGCACGTTGAGCATGTTGTCATGGCTTTGAACAAGTGCGAGGCTAGTTTTCGAGCAAAGACTGACTGCACCATTGGAGAGGGTAAAAATTGCACTATCTAATCAGAATAGATTATTTGAAACTTGCATTGTGGAGAACGGTAAGAACCTTGCTTACAAGTAAGATGTAATAAATGATGTATGGCCACAGATAGTGAGAAATTTCAAATGGTGCACATTCTTATTTCTGATCAACCTCTAACAATCGTCGTCAGGAAAAGAGTCAGCTGGGTTCACGTAAACCACTTTTGGCTCTGGCATGGTGGAGCTCTTGCAGAGGAAGTACTTCATGGTGGTGTTTACAAGCGTATATTCATTTCGTGTTCACCCATGCCTTATTCATGAACGATGGGACACGTTGTAAAACTGAAATGCATACATTAATGGCAAATATCAAAGTGGATTCATGTCGGCAGATTCTATGAAGGCGATTCACCCACATGGTGCGACTTTGAAGACTATTGGACTTCATTGAGCGTACTAGTCGCGAGGGGGTGGTGGAGTTATTGGCTGAGACTGCGTGGACCAGGGCCGGTCTACGTTGCTACTTTGTGGTTCAAAATGTTTCACCCACCCCTTCCCCGTCCATCATTGTCTGGTTCAGTACAACCCCTCCTCAAACACTTTTACCTACAAAGTTGGGGCGTCGAGGGGGAAGGGAGTCTATACGCGCGCTGAAACGGCAAATTTTCTCCCGCGCCGCTCCCCACTCATCACATGCACATGCAACTTCTTACAACCGAAGCAAGTACGACCCCCCTCTACAAACTCATCAAAATACGACCCCCCGTTGCTACTTGTAGCAACATAGGGTTGACCCTGCTTCAGACCCTTTTGCCAGTGATGTTGAAGAGTTCGTCAAAAGTGCATCCCACTTCAGCTATCGTGGTCATCGTGCTTTGAACATTGCTTCAAACCGATTTTTCTTGCAACCGAAGCGATAAAACAGTCGGCATTGAGATCACTTGGTGAAAATGAATATGAGGGGCACGCTACATCTCTAACGTTGAGTATAGGAGAGCCATAACATCAAGCTACTTCATTTCAAATAGGAGTAACCCCTCTCGGCCAGGGTACCATTTGATTCCGAGTTCTGGAGCCGGTCAACGCGCTACAACTCCTCTTATTTCTTCTCCCAGAACGGCCGTCGAGTGGGAAGGTAGGAAGGGTGACGGTGGCAGAGAGATAATGTAAACTCCAATTTCTCTTTCTGAAATCCCGTGAAAGCTCACGCCGACTTAATCAAAAACCAAGATGACTCTTCCAGCAACGGGCCCCTTCAATTCCAAAAAAGACTCTTTACGACTTAGTCCGATTCCAAGATGCCTCCCCCGACTACTGAGATCGAGATTGTTTCCTCGATTGTGGGATTTCTCCCTGTACAAGCCCATATTCGTTGAGAGATGAGAGGGATATTAAATGTTGTCGTAGTAACCCCTGCTCATTTCAACACAGGAATGTGAAGACCTATATGATATTGGATTCCCCCCCCTGGCCTCTTCAGCTGGCGTGCAGCCAGCGTTAAGGCGTTATAATGTTGAATTCAGGCATTTTCCTATTCCATAATGAAATGAGCGTATTCCCATATTTGGTAGACTCTATCCTCTTTCCTTCAATAAAGGTTAGGAGCTACAGCCCGTCTTGAGCAATAGAGAGACGTCGTTAAGCGAAACATTACCAAAGTTTGAAGAGAAAGCCTAATGAATTTGTGAAAGAAAAACGGCCTATATGTCGGATAGCAACGAAGCACCACCTGAAGCAGCCTGTTCGCGACTGGTTCTATAGTCGTTGGGTAATCGCAGGACAGACAAGCGGTGGAAATCGGAAGGGAGTTGCCGTCCTAAGGGTCCAGTGTCCGATGGCTTTGCTCGGAGGCCACGGTGCGCTTGGTGTAGACCAATCCAAACGAAGTCGGAATAGGCGGTCGCAACTTGACTCGTTTTCGTCAACCCTGGAATGTGTAAACTTTTGAAGGAAACTCCAGACAGTCAGTTTCGTGAGCTATCTCTGAGAAAAATTCTTTCAGCGGTCGCCGAGTTTGATGATCCCAAGCTATATGTAGTAACAAGGGAATTCTATAGCGTCGGAGCGCTTTTTGAAAACGTATTTTTCTATGCTCTAGACACTCTTACGGCAAAACGGGGGTGATCTGAACAACCCGAAAAACTTTGTCTGAGTTGGGGAACCTTACCGGAATTTGGTGGAAATTAAATTGTATGGGTTTTGATGGTTCGGCAATGAAATGTGACACCTTATGTTGGCACTGGCGCTATGTGGAGCAAATCTAGGGGCTCTAATCTGAAGTGCAAAGAATTTGCTAATCATTTGAAGTTCACTGCTAATCATTCAAAACTTTGGACCATTTCTACATCACGTTTTAGTCTTCAAGGAAGCGTTCAGCGAAAATGGGCCTCGGTTTTGTAGTTCACTGAATAGTTTCTATAACCTGCAGGAAACCCTTTGAAAAAGCGCTCCATATCTTGAAAGACACCCCTTGTAAGTGCTTTTCACAGTAGATTGCGCCATTCCACCGGCTTCTTTTCCTATAGTGATCGGAGGGCAGTTTGCATAGTTTGCATTAGTTTGGTTGGCAGTTGAATAGTAAAGTGAAGGTGCAAGTGCTTAGTGATACAACGGTATGAAGAAGCTATTATGTATAAAAAGTGATCGATGAACTATCGAAATGGGCCCATATACTGCATATCGGTACTTTTCTTGTGAGAAGTCTAGTCTAAGGTGTAGCTGCAGTAAAATTTATGTGTTTTCGCTAGAAAAAAAAATCAAAAAATCGTGTCAATCAAGATTGCGATGCCGAGCTGCACTTTCTGCGCGTTGCTGAAAGTTCGTCTTCCTACATCATCCGAAAGCAAAGCTCACACTTAAAGAATGGGAATAGTCCTGTTCAAGTTTATTCCTTTCCTGAGGAGACGTGCTGCTTGAACCGTTAAAAGGCCCTAGCAGCTTCTACAAAATTGTCCCTTCCTCTGCAAAGCATTGATGATAGCGCGAATAGAAAGGTAGGCATTCTCAAGAGGAGCAGAGCATACATCTCATGATTCCACTCTTCGCTCCTCTCTCCTTCTTGCCGAAAGGCAGTTTTACATTAACTCCTTCGCAGAACCCTTGACGTTGGACATTTTTCGGTGACTTGAGATCAGTTTATTGTAGTTTGCTGAACAGTACAAATATAGGACGTACCATAAACGAAGTCATTTTCTTCGCTGCTATGAATCGAAGCAAGATGTCCGCCCTCAAAATTACACAGAGCTTCAGCTTCGTCAAACGTGGCAGGATGGTTGGAATTCCTGAAGGAACACAATCAGTTATGATTAGCTTGAATTAGCGAAGGGCTTTCCTCAAAACAGCCTGAGCGAATTTTGACGTCGGCACGACTCGTTCTTCATGAGTTGAGGAAGTCCTACTGCAGTTCCGCGGTAATCCTTATGATTAACCGCCCTCAGTCTCTGGGTTTCACCACCAAAAGGTGCAAATCGAGTAGGAGGGAGCCATTCTTGCTCTGCGGAGCTGACGATAGGGGCCAAGGAAAGGCTAAGGATATCTCTAGCAATGAGCTTGAGGACTTTGACACGCTCCTTCAAAATAAGTATTGTAGAAACCGGTGAGATATGTATCTTTCATAATCCCATCCGATCAATTTTTTGCACATCTTCAGTGGGCAATCTACTGTGGAACTCTCGATCCTTATCGTTAGAGTCCGCAGAGCAGAATGAAGTGACCCTCTTCTACTCCATCTTCACCCCCACCCTCTTTAAAATATTTGTAGAAGATACATGAACACAAATAACAGTTGGAGTGGTCGACTAAAACTTCACAATTTTCCTGCCAGCTCTTCAAAAATGCAGTGTTTATTTCACCTTGTGGGACTCTTCGTTCAAGTTTGCAAAATGCACCCCCTAAAAGTATCCGCTAACGGAAGGGGTTGGCCCTAGTTCCTGTGGAACGGGCACTGTGACCAATCAGGTCGAAGAGAGGATTTATCAAGACGCTGTACCATCAAGTAGGGAAAACCTGATCAAAAAACAACCTTGTAGTAGTAGCCATTGAAACTGGACCAGCCTGTCTGCCCGACGGCACCACAGATTATGGTCAAAAGAAGTACAGCTTGCATGTCAGGTTTACACAGCTCTCTGAAAATCTACACAACAAACGCCTGAAACAAGTTTGACAACGGAAGAAACTAGAGTTCATGTCAGGAAGAGAACAATTCAAACGACGTCACTGCCATGTAACTGAAGGGCTGGTCTGTGCCAGCAAACTCAGAAGGCTTTAAAGGCGCCGCAAACGATATTGCTTAATATACGTTAGAAGCGCAATCGTTTATTTTAAAGCTGCGATCATTTTTACGGCCCCATAGCACAGCTGTAAAACTTTCGAATCGGTGCAGAGACACAAAGAGATCAAGCAAGCAAAAGCGGAAGCTGCGTTAATTCGATACCGTACTTGGGTGGTGTAATCGGTAGCACAACTGCCCGGAAAGCATGAGGTGCGGGTTAGACTTACGCCCGCGGCAGAAAGCTTCGCCTATAACCCACCTTTCCTGTGATGAAGAAAAAACCATAGTATCGAACAGATCTCATGTTTAGCATTTCCTCTCCATTTCCCGCAGTTGCACCTGAGAAATGATTTCAAAAAATGTGGTGATCTATGGAAATTGTCGAAATTTATGTGTCAAGTGGGTAGAGTGTTCCTCACATTTCCATGATGAGAGTTTATACAAATCCAACGGTCCTTAGGTCTTTATCTTCACTCGTACGGATTTTTTTAGAGAAACTTTAGCCGCATTTTGATTCGAATATAAAACCAATCAAGAATTTAAGACGCTTTGCGAATCTGGTATTCGAATAAATCTAGAATTTCGTTATGGGAAATGTTTGCCACGACGTTTCAGAAACAGCCACCGTAAAATCACGTAATTGTTAAGCGATTGTAAAGTGATTTCCCCTACAGATGAAGCAATGGGAACCACGGTGAATATCGATCTGGGAAATACTCGATGTATTTTTCAGGGTGGGTCATATTTGTGAGAGTCAGCAACGAGCACTTCGGTGGCATCGTGGTGCAGATAGGAGGGAGAGGGTGTAGCGCAGCAGAAACGAAGGATATGTGAGAAAACATGATATAAAATATTCTTTGCAGGTTCAGTCGCTCCATTCCTCTACCTTCATGAGAAGGACGTATTTGAAAGCAGTACAAAGAATGAAAGTGCATCTCCCGCAAGGAACGAGGCCACATGTGCACACGCGCTGCAAAGGCATCTACCTTCGGCTAGGTGGTGGTTTCAGAGGTGCGGGTTCGACTCTCGTTGGGGCAAAAGTTTTGCCCATAACTTATTGTTAGCATCCTTTTTGCGATAAACTACTATTACAGTGTCTTCAATTTGCACACCGCAGAATGAGCTCTATTGCTACGATAACTACCTGAAACGGGAACATGAAAACATAAGGAGCCAAGAAATATAAGGAAACTTAGAAAGGAGGAGCAGAAGGTGCCCAGGATTTCGGAATCGCGAGGGAGATAGCCAGCCCGAGAGAAAGCGGGCCCGAGAAGGACCATAAAAGGTCGGTAGGGCCTCTTGGGAGGTTGCCTCACTGTTGTTCTTGTTGGTGAGCGGCCATTGAGCCCACCACGGTTCCCCTCGTCTTGAATGCTTGTTGCCTCATCAGCAGCCGCCTATTTATACCCTGCCATCACCCTTACCTCGAGTGAATCATTTCAGCCTATCTCCTATTCATTCTGTTCGTTTTGTTCGTTGAATAAATCTTGTTCGGTGTTTATTCAGGACATCAGTGGAGATTGAGAGCCATGCACTACACTATCGCATTGTTCCAGCTTTGCTGAACTGAGGATGTGCAGTCTGAGCTAGGGCCATGAGAGCCATGGGTGCTCGTTGATAACCAGTTTTGTGATCCTAGAGTGGAATACCTTTAGAACTGATAAGGGGTAGATGCTGCTACTGGCAACGAACTGGAGTAGCACAGGCGAAAGTGGAGCACGATGGAATGGTAAGCATAGTGCGTCCAACTAGCTCGTCTTTGGCCGCAGAAAGGCCACAACTCGCGTCGTATGTCTGTGATATGTGCCTCCACCTGCCAAGCATGTACTTCATGCTACGCACACACACTTTATCGTAATCCCTCTCTTCGTTCACATTCATTGAACTTGTTACTGTCGCTGGTGTGTATATTTCCATGTAAGTTGAATAATTGTTTTTTATTTATTTCTGTGTACCTTCTGCACCGTAATAAACATGAATCTGAACATGAATTAATCGAGGTTTATACCTGAAAATTCAATGAACTCAATGGGGTGATTCGACTTCATGTAGGCTTACAGAGAAAAGATATCAATTTCTGCCAGCGGGACTGAAGCGACGTTCAGGCCTCAGCGGGTGGATGTTTTGGGACTACTTTCATGCAGCAGTTTCTTCAGTGAGCTCTAGCTCGTACTCGGATTCGCGCATATTGACGTGACGCGGTACAGATTTTAAAACACGCTCTGGTACCGGTTTTTCACGCTTTGTGATTGAAGGTGAGTGTTTTGCAGACACAATGCTTTTCACACCCGATCCAATTTTTGCAGGATATTGTTAAGACGCCAAGCTGCTTGGCAACATGTTGTCGCTGACTGCTATCAAGTTATGTGCCAGCGGGTACCTTTCAAGGCTGTCACATTCTGTTAGATGATATCACAGTTCCTTCGAAGGGGCCCTTACTTCACGTTAACATTCGCGTCAGATGGTCGATCTTCTACGACGGCCCACCAGAAGTGTGTGATCGTCACCGCAATATGGAGCGCCTGTCTTAAGGCCTGTCACTGTGATGCGAAGTAATCTCTATTTCAGTGGCCGAACTGCTTTCCGATTTAGGAATGAAAAGAGAAATGGGATGCCGATGAATCCTGCGGAATTCGCCGCGACTGAGCCGTCCACTGTGCAACACATGCCCTAAACTTAAAGGAATCTTCCACGGACCATGGTCCAGTAGGCGGGACCGGAAGTGGTTTTGCGACGAAATGCATGGTAGGTACGGATCCACGTTCAAGGGTTCGGTCCCGCCCACTGGTCCATGGTCCGTGGAAGATTCCTTTAAGGTGAAGCGCAGTATTTGATTCGATAGAATTTTTTATCAGACCATGAAAAGAGAATGTGGCGTCTGTACGGAACCACACACTTGGAAGATGGCATCCTGTTCACTCACTTTCTTTTCAGTGCAATGCGGTGACTGTGCTTCGGTTTTACGCGCGAGGAAAAACTGACTGCAACATTGCATTAGATGTACGTTACCGTGTTGATAACTTCGCTTTGATAAGCCTCTCATTTGTCAGCTAATGATCGTTTTCCTACCGGTAGTTAAAGCCACGAGTCAGGATTAGGTGGTCATAGAAGGCCTTTCCATCACTAATATTTCCAGGAATGCGCTCAGAGGGGTGACGCCACACTCCTGACTCGAGATTGCGCGCCGTCAAGGCCTCTGGCCTACTACTTACAGCGATGGGTTCGTTGCATCAGCTGGTCCCGCCCACCGCGGGATGTGGTGCGTGGCTGGCATAACGTGTGAAATCAGCTAGGTTGATTGCCGTATCAACCGATGGAACGGCTGGCATATCCGGAAAACTCGTTTGGACGTGGCTCTCCCCAAGCAAGCCTCCTTCACTGCTAGTGGGAAGGGGTTTCGTTTTCGGCCTTGTCGACGGTTTTTTCGTTTTTTCTCCACTGTCGTTCCACTTCGCATCTCTATACTCAGTTTCAATCGCCATAATACCCCCTTATTGAGCCCGACTTTTGCCTTTAAACTAAAGGTAAATGACTGGCACAAAATTGTAAGAAATTTCAATGGTACATACTTTATTTGTGAATAGCATCTAACAATAGTCAGAAGCAGTGCTCCAGTAAGTCACTGGCAGAGCGGATTTCTTGCAGACGAAATGCTGCATGCTGCGCCAACAGGGGCAATCATTCCAGTTTGAGTTGTTGTTAAACTAGAAATGACAATACAATAATGCAAATATTGTTACCAGATCAACCGCCCAATTTTTCTTGAAGGCAGTGATCATAACGGCTAGAGAGCGGTTCTGGTACGTCAGAACGCACAGTACGCTGTGGATGTGATTGAGACCTCCTCTTACACTTTTTCACCAACGAAGTTCAAAAACGTCATCGAAACCGCACCGCCCTCTAGCGATAGCGAAACTGTCTTCAAGCCGACTGCTCTAAACTAAATAAA